TACACTTTGTAATTGTTCGCGGGGAAAGTTGGTGTTTTCTTCATTATCGATTCCATTGCACTCAGTTAACAACTTTATGCGTTACAAAGAGATCCGGTCTTTTTATAAGATCCGGCTTACAATGAAAATCAAAATAAAACAAAGAAATCAAAATTACAACTTCTCTCTTTTACCGAACAAATCACAAGATCCTGTTATCCGGTCTCTTGCTTCTGTGGGTTGTTTGCCTGCGCCGGGGTTGCTTACCGTGGACCACCGCGTGATCTGGATCCAAGCAGATCTACGACGTATTACGGGTATTATCCCACCAAGGAGATAATAGCCGGGAGGGATCGTTTCACCAAGGAAACGACCGCTCAAATCTCGGGATCTAAGAGCCAAGCTTAGATCCGGAGTGTAACGACGTAGATCTGAGGATTAAACTCTCTCGAACTCCTGCCTTTTTCGGTGCTGGTGCTCGCTAAGAATCAAATCCGGGTCTCCAAGTCTTCAAGCCTTCAGATCTCCGAGTTGAGGTGACAATCCGGCAGAGTTTCGGCTCTCTCCAAAGTTTCAGAAGAAGTCCTCCAAATGAACGAGTACCAGGCCTATTTATAGGCTCTCAGAACTGTGCGTTTGCACAGTTCTGAGCCTAGCCACCCCTAGGTGGCTCGGCCATAGCCGAGCCACCCAGGGGTGGCTCGGCCTTGGCCGAGCCACCAGGAAATAAGACCAGAGCTAAAACTACATTTATGGGATAAATGGCCATATTGCTCCACATCTCACACTAGTTTTGCCAAGTGTATTCTCATCAGACCAAAAATGATGAAGCACCACGGTATTGATATCCGAGATATGATCAACAAGCTGCTAATATCTTAAGATAATATTTTAACCTCAAGTTATTCAATTATAAAAGGCACATGAAAGCCTACAATACAACACACCCTAGTAAGCATCAAAGTAAATAAAATCAGTCATGTGTATCTTTCGATTTTTCATAAATTTGTCAAACACACCGCACGGGCAGGGCCGTACCTAGGAATTTTGGGGCCCAAGGCGAAATATTGGATGAGGCCTAAGTGATACAACTCATAATACATTTTATCTCATTCTTCTTACCTTTTGAGCGGCAAAATTACATATTATTTTCAATATCTTGTAACATGGTCGATCTTAAATAAGATTTTAGTAATTTTAATTTTGAAAAACTTCTTTCAGCGGAAGCAACTGTTACGAGTATAGTCAATAGTACACGATAAGCAATACAAGTATTTAGAAAATAATCTAACCACTTTATATAGTTCAACACTTCAATTGGACTATTAATCTCTATTTTAAAATTTCCCTAAGCACTCTCAATTCTGAAAACAAATCAAGTCCATTAATATCTAAATGTTCATCATGTTTTAGTGCATTTTCGAGATTAAGACAATATGCTTTCAATTCAATATCATCTAAAGCTTTTAATTTTTTCAAATCAAACAAAAAACCAAATTTTTTTTCATACGTTTTAAATTGTTCAAACCTACTTTCAATTGAGCCAAGCGATTTATCAACTATGTATAGAAATATTCAATACGAAAAGATTCTTCAGCGTTAAATGTTGTTTCATTACCAATATTTCATCAAATTGTTTTTTTCTATGAATTTTACGTTTTTCACAAAATATAGGTTGTACGTCATTTAATTAGCAAGTTCTTTAGTTGAATTCAAAGCAGATATAAAAGCATTTTGTCTATAATTTTCTAAATATACAATAAGACCCTTTAATTGATCTATGACAATATCAATATGCATATATTTAGATTGTAAGATTTTACTAACTGAATTAACAGCAAACAATATGTCATACCAAATATTCATAGCTATTAAGAATTCAAAATTTTCAATCTCATAAGTTGCTAAGCTATTAGCTTCACTTTTTATCTTTGGATCTTCACTTTTTAAATAGGGTTAGCTTTATGCTTAAGTAACTAAGTTACATATATTATATATATGGGTGGGTGGGCCTTATCCAACTTGGGGCCCAAGGCAAAGGCCTTAGTTGCCTTATGCTAGGGCCGGCCCTGCGCACGGGTCTTTTACTTAGAATTATATCTTTCACAATTATATACCATGGCATTTGTTAACAGAAAACACATAGCTATATAACAAAACTCGATCAGGAAGGGGAAAAAAAAGCCCACGTTGTATTGATGACCTAAAGATGCTCGATAAAATGACTGAGTAAACACAAAACCCATAACATACAGATTTCAATGGTACTCCTAATAATATACAAATTACAAAATTTTCATGAATCTATCGCACAATTAATAAGTCACCCACGAAAACAAATAGATAAAGCCTATCAAATTTTGGGTTTTCAGAACCCTAGAACAATTGGCCCCCTTTTTTCTAGTGCTAACCTCATTTCATGAAAACTAAATTAAAATTCAAGAGAAGTGGGGGAAAGAAATTTAGATTACCTTTTGAGTTTTGATGTCGGAGGTGATGCTAGAGCTCATCAGTGAACGCTGAACGAATGGGTCGCGGACAACGAAGAGGAAATAGTTCGGGTAACCGACCCCGGAATAATTTTGATATTAGCACCTGTTTTTTAAAATTTACAAATTAGCCCTTAAAATTTCAAAAGGGATTCCATCAGAACCACCGTCGCAGGAGTGGAATGACTTACACTATTAATAGTCACAGTTCCCAATATAATCCTTTAAGGGGCTGTTTGTTTCGCAAAAAAATTGCAGAAAAAGCCCCCCAAAGAAAACTAACACAAGAAAATTTTACATTTTCTTTCACAATCATATGTTTAGTTGGCAAAAAATAAAAAGGAAAGTGAAGGAAAGTTCGATCGGTGATTTTTCTCCCGAAAATTTCCCCCTCTTTTGAGCCCGATTATGGGGGAAAGTAAAAGAAAGTTGTGTCTCTTGATTTTATTGTCAAGTTCCGATTTTGATGTTTCTTTGGTGTTTTGTTGAGGAGCTAATTGATCAATGGGTACTTGATGTATTGTTCAATCGATGCTTAATTTGATAGAGCTTCCCTCTTTTGTTGCTGTGATGGATGAAGATTCATACCTGTTTATAATTCTGGCTCATGGGTCGTCAGGACTTTTGATACGAGTAAGGTAAAGGCATAAATGACTTTGGATATATGTATGTATGCGTCTAACAGAGTTCCCTTCTGATATGAAGATTAATGGTTCCCCCTAATTGCTTAAATCCAAACAATCTACATTATAACTGTGTTCTTTAGTCAAGACCTTTTTTCTGATTTAAAAGATATAAACACATAACTTGAAATGTATAGTTTCCACGACAATAAGTAAGCTGACACATTAGGCCTTAAAAAAAGGGAAAATGGCATATGGCCAAAATCATAACTTCATAGTCATTAAATTAAGAAACCAAAGAATTTTTAAAGAGAAGAAAAACACACTAAAAATAGAGGGTTTACACTCAATACCTGATCACTTAGCAACGATGCATGAACTTTATCAATTCATTTCAGTACAACGCAGAAAAAGTGATAGAATGATGAGAAACTGGCTCTAGTCTGCACTTACCATGAGTGAAAAAATAGTATTACGAAATGATGAAAATTTAAAAAAAAAAATCACAAAAGCTTCTTTAACTCCAATCCGTAAGCATTCCTTGACTTACCAATCAGTGACAACAAAAATTCAGTATCCTTTATTATTCACCACACATTGCTTGAGGAAATAAGACCAGAGCTAAAACTACATTTATGGGATAAATGGCCATATTGCTCCACATCTCACACTAGTTTTGCCAAGTGTATTCTCATCAGACCAAAAATGATGAAGCACCACGGTATTGATATCCGAGATATGATCAACAAGCTGCTAATATCTTAAGATAATATTTTAACCTCAAGTTATTCAATTATAAAAGGCACATGAAAGCCTACAATACAACACACCCTAGTAAGCATCAAAGTAAATAAAATCAGTCATGTGTATCTTTCGATTTTTCATAAATTTGTCAAACACACCGCACGGGCAGGGCCGTACCTAGGAATTTTGGGGCCCAAGGCGAAATATTGGATGAGGCCTAAGTGATACAACTCATAATACATTTTATCTCATTCTTCTTACCTTTTGAGCGGCAAAATTACATATTATTTTCAATATCTTGTAACATGGTCGATCTTAAATAAGATTTTAGTAATTTTAATTTTGAAAAACTTCTTTCAGCGGAAGCAACTGTTACGAGTATAGTCAATAGTACACGATAAGCAATACAAGTATTTAGAAAATAATCTAACCACTTTATATAGTTCAACACTTCAATTGGACTATTAATCTCTATTTTAAAATTTCCCTAAGCACTCTCAATTCTGAAAACAAATCAAGTCCATTAATATCTAAATGTTCATCATGTTTTAGTGCATTTTCGAGATTAAGACAATATGCTTTCAATTCAATATCATCTAAAGCTTTTAATTTTTTCAAATCAAACAAAAAACCAAATTTTTTTTCATACGTTTTAAATTGTTCAAACCTACTTTCAATTGAGCCAAGCGATTTATCAACTATGTATAGAAATATTCAATACGAAAAGATTCTTCAGCGTTAAATGTTGTTTCATTACCAATATTTCATCAAATTGTTTTTTTCTATGAATTTTACGTTTTTCACAAAATATAGGTTGTACGTCATTTAATTAGCAAGTTCTTTAGTTGAATTCAAAGCAGATATAAAAGCATTTTGTCTATAATTTTCTAAATATACAATAAGACCCTTTAATTGATCTATGACAATATCAATATGCATATATTTAGATTGTAAGATTTTACTAACTGAATTAACAGCAAACAATATGTCATACCAAATATTCATAGCTATTAAGAATTCAAAATTTTCAATCTCATAAGTTGCTAAGCTATTAGCTTCACTTTTTATCTTTGGATCTTCACTTTTTAAATAGGGTTAGCTTTATGCTTAAGTAACTAAGTTACATATATTATATATATGGGTGGGTGGGCCTTATCCAACTTGGGGCCCAAGGCAAAGGCCTTAGTTGCCTTATGCTAGGGCCGGCCCTGCGCACGGGTCTTTTACTTAGAATTATATCTTTCACAATTATATACCATGGCATTTGTTAACAGAAAACACATAGCTATATAACAAAACTCGATCAGGAAGGGGAAAAAAAAGCCCACGTTGTATTGATGACCTAAAGATGCTCGATAAAATGACTGAGTAAACACAAAACCCATAACATACAGATTTCAATGGTACTCCTAATAATATACAAATTACAAAATTTTCATGAATCTATCGCACAATTAATAAGTCACCCACGAAAACAAATAGATAAAGCCTATCAAATTTTGGGTTTTCAGAACCCTAGAACAATTGGCCCCCTTTTTTCTAGTGCTAACCTCATTTCATGAAAACTAAATTAAAATTCAAGAGAAGTGGGGGAAAGAAATTTAGATTACCTTTTGAGTTTTGATGTCGGAGGTGATGCTAGAGCTCATCAGTGAACGCTGAACGAATGGGTCGCGGACAACGAAGAGGAAATAGTTCGGGTAACCGACCCCGGAATAATTTTGATATTAGCACCTGTTTTTTAAAATTTACAAATTAGCCCTTAAAATTTCAAAAGGGATTCCATCAGAACCACCGTCGCAGGAGTGGAATGACTTACACTATTAATAGTCACAGTTCCCAATATAATCCTTTAAGGGGCTGTTTGTTTCGCAAAAAAATTGCAGAAAAAGCCCCCCAAAGAAAACTAACACAAGAAAATTTTACATTTTCTTTCACAATCATATGTTTAGTTGGCAAAAAATAAAAAGGAAAGTGAAGGAAAGTTCGATCGGTGATTTTTCTCCCGAAAATTTCCCCCTCTTTTGAGCCCGATTATGGGGGAAAGTAAAAGAAAGTTGTGTCTCTTGATTTTATTGTCAAGTTCCGATTTTGATGTTTCTTTGGTGTTTTGTTGAGGAGCTAATTGATCAATGGGTACTTGATGTATTGTTCAATCGATGCTTAATTTGATAGAGCTTCCCTCTTTTGTTGCTGTGATGGATGAAGATTCATACCTGTTTATAATTCTGGCTCATGGGTCGTCAGGACTTTTGATACGAGTAAGGTAAAGGCATAAATGACTTTGGATATATGTATGTATGCGTCTAACAGAGTTCCCTTCTGATATGAAGATTAATGGTTCCCCCTAATTGCTTAAATCCAAACAATCTACATTATAACTGTGTTCTTTAGTCAAGACCTTTTTTCTGATTTAAAAGATATAAACACATAACTTGAAATGTATAGTTTCCACGACAATAAGTAAGCTGACACATTAGGCCTTAAAAAAAGGGAAAATGGCATATGGCCAAAATCATAACTTCATAGTCATTAAATTAAGAAACCAAAGAATTTTTAAAGAGAAGAAAAACACACTAAAAATAGAGGGTTTACACTCAATACCTGATCACTTAGCAACGATGCATGAACTTTATCAATTCATTTCAGTACAACGCAGAAAAAGTGATAGAATGATGAGAAACTGGCTCTAGTCTGCACTTACCATGAGTGAAAAAATAGTATTACGAAATGATGAAAATTTAAAAAAAAAAATCACAAAAGCTTCTTTAACTCCAATCCGTAAGCATTCCTTGACTTACCAATCAGTGACAACAAAAATTCAGTATCCTTTATTATTCACCACACATTGCTTGAGGAAATAAGACCAGAGCTAAAACTACATTTATGGGATAAATGGCCATATTGCTCCACATCTCACACTAGTTTTGCCAAGTGTATTCTCATCAGACCAAAAATGATGAAGCACCACGGTATTGATATCCGAGATATGATCAACAAGCTGCTAATATCTTAAGATAATATTTTAACCTCAAGTTATTCAATTATAAAAGGCACATGAAAGCCTACAATACAACACACCCTAGTAAGCATCAAAGTAAATAAAATCAGTCATGTGTATCTTTCGATTTTTCATAAATTTGTCAAACACACCGCACGGGCAGGGCCGTACCTAGGAATTTTGGGGCCCAAGGCGAAATATTGGATGAGGCCTAAGTGATACAACTCATAATACATTTTATCTCATTCTTCTTACCTTTTGAGCGGCAAAATTACATATTATTTTCAATATCTTGTAACATGGTCGATCTTAAATAAGATTTTAGTAATTTTAATTTTGAAAAACTTCTTTCAGCGGAAGCAACTGTTACGAGTATAGTCAATAGTACACGATAAGCAATACAAGTATTTAGAAAATAATCTAACCACTTTATATAGTTCAACACTTCAATTGGACTATTAATCTCTATTTTAAAATTTCCCTAAGCACTCTCAATTCTGAAAACAAATCAAGTCCATTAATATCTAAATGTTCATCATGTTTTAGTGCATTTTCGAGATTAAGACAATATGCTTTCAATTCAATATCATCTAAAGCTTTTAATTTTTTCAAATCAAACAAAAAACCAAATTTTTTTTCATACGTTTTAAATTGTTCAAACCTACTTTCAATTGAGCCAAGCGATTTATCAACTATGTATAGAAATATTCAATACGAAAAGATTCTTCAGCGTTAAATGTTGTTTCATTACCAATATTTCATCAAATTGTTTTTTTCTATGAATTTTACGTTTTTCACAAAATATAGGTTGTACGTCATTTAATTAGCAAGTTCTTTAGTTGAATTCAAAGCAGATATAAAAGCATTTTGTCTATAATTTTCTAAATATACAATAAGACCCTTTAATTGATCTATGACAATATCAATATGCATATATTTAGATTGTAAGATTTTACTAACTGAATTAACAGCAAACAATATGTCATACCAAATATTCATAGCTATTAAGAATTCAAAATTTTCAATCTCATAAGTTGCTAAGCTATTAGCTTCACTTTTTATCTTTGGATCTTCACTTTTTAAATAGGGTTAGCTTTATGCTTAAGTAACTAAGTTACATATATTATATATATGGGTGGGTGGGCCTTATCCAACTTGGGGCCCAAGGCAAAGGCCTTAGTTGCCTTATGCTAGGGCCGGCCCTGCGCACGGGTCTTTTACTTAGAATTATATCTTTCACAATTATATACCATGGCATTTGTTAACAGAAAACACATAGCTATATAACAAAACTCGATCAGGAAGGGGAAAAAAAAGCCCACGTTGTATTGATGACCTAAAGATGCTCGATAAAATGACTGAGTAAACACAAAACCCATAACATACAGATTTCAATGGTACTCCTAATAATATACAAATTACAAAATTTTCATGAATCTATCGCACAATTAATAAGTCACCCACGAAAACAAATAGATAAAGCCTATCAAATTTTGGGTTTTCAGAACCCTAGAACAATTGGCCCCCTTTTTTCTAGTGCTAACCTCATTTCATGAAAACTAAATTAAAATTCAAGAGAAGTGGGGGAAAGAAATTTAGATTACCTTTTGAGTTTTGATGTCGGAGGTGATGCTAGAGCTCATCAGTGAACGCTGAACGAATGGGTCGCGGACAACGAAGAGGAAATAGTTCGGGTAACCGACCCCGGAATAATTTTGATATTAGCACCTGTTTTTTAAAATTTACAAATTAGCCCTTAAAATTTCAAAAGGGATTCCATCAGAACCACCGTCGCAGGAGTGGAATGACTTACACTATTAATAGTCACAGTTCCCAATATAATCCTTTAAGGGGCTGTTTGTTTCGCAAAAAAATTGCAGAAAAAGCCCCCCAAAGAAAACTAACACAAGAAAATTTTACATTTTCTTTCACAATCATATGTTTAGTTGGCAAAAAATAAAAAGGAAAGTGAAGGAAAGTTCGATCGGTGATTTTTCTCCCGAAAATTTCCCCCTCTTTTGAGCCCGATTATGGGGGAAAGTAAAAGAAAGTTGTGTCTCTTGATTTTATTGTCAAGTTCCGATTTTGATGTTTCTTTGGTGTTTTGTTGAGGAGCTAATTGATCAATGGGTACTTGATGTATTGTTCAATCGATGCTTAATTTGATAGAGCTTCCCTCTTTTGTTGCTGTGATGGATGAAGATTCATACCTGTTTATAATTCTGGCTCATGGGTCGTCAGGACTTTTGATACGAGTAAGGTAAAGGCATAAATGACTTTGGATATATGTATGTATGCGTCTAACAGAGTTCCCTTCTGATATGAAGATTAATGGTTCCCCCTAATTGCTTAAATCCAAACAATCTACATTATAACTGTGTTCTTTAGTCAAGACCTTTTTTCTGATTTAAAAGATATAAACACATAACTTGAAATGTATAGTTTCCACGACAATAAGTAAGCTGACACATTAGGCCTTAAAAAAAGGGAAAATGGCATATGGCCAAAATCATAACTTCATAGTCATTAAATTAAGAAACCAAAGAATTTTTAAAGAGAAGAAAAACACACTAAAAATAGAGGGTTTACACTCAATACCTGATCACTTAGCAACGATGCATGAACTTTATCAATTCATTTCAGTACAACGCAGAAAAAGTGATAGAATGATGAGAAACTGGCTCTAGTCTGCACTTACCATGAGTGAAAAAATAGTATTACGAAATGATGAAAATTTAAAAAAAAAAATCACAAAAGCTTCTTTAACTCCAATCCGTAAGCATTCCTTGACTTACCAATCAGTGACAACAAAAATTCAGTATCCTTTATTATTCACCACACATTGCTTGAGGAAATAAGACCAGAGCTAAAACTACATTTATGGGATAAATGGCCATATTGCTCCACATCTCACACTAGTTTTGCCAAGTGTATTCTCATCAGACCAAAAATGATGAAGCACCACGGTATTGATATCCGAGATATGATCAACAAGCTGCTAATATCTTAAGATAATATTTTAACCTCAAGTTATTCAATTATAAAAGGCACATGAAAGCCTACAATACAACACACCCTAGTAAGCATCAAAGTAAATAAAATCAGTCATGTGTATCTTTCGATTTTTCATAAATTTGTCAAACACACCGCACGGGCAGGGCCGTACCTAGGAATTTTGGGGCCCAAGGCGAAATATTGGATGAGGCCTAAGTGATACAACTCATAATACATTTTATCTCATTCTTCTTACCTTTTGAGCGGCAAAATTACATATTATTTTCAATATCTTGTAACATGGTCGATCTTAAATAAGATTTTAGTAATTTTAATTTTGAAAAACTTCTTTCAGCGGAAGCAACTGTTACGAGTATAGTCAATAGTACACGATAAGCAATACAAGTATTTAGAAAATAATCTAACCACTTTATATAGTTCAACACTTCAATTGGACTATTAATCTCTATTTTTAAAATTTCCCTAAGCACTCTCAATTCTGAAAACAAATCAAGTCCATTAATATCTAAATGTTCATCATGTTTTAGTGCATTTTCGAGATTAAGACAATATGCTTTCAATTCAATATCATCTAAAGCTTTTAATTTTTTCAAATCAAACAAAAAACCAAATTTTTTTTCATACGTTTTAAATTGTTCAAACCTACTTTCAATTGAGCCAAGCGATTTATCAACTATGTATAGAAATATTCAATACGAAAAGATTCTTCAGCGTTAAATGTTGTTTCATTACCAATATTTCATCAAATTGTTTTTTTCTATGAATTTTACGTTTTCACAAAATATAGGTTGTACGTCATTTAATTAGCAAGTTCTTTAGTTGAATTCAAAGCAGATATAAAAGCATTTTGTCTATAATTTTCTAAATATACAATAAGACCCTTTAATTGATCTATGACAATATCAATATGCATATCTTTAGATTGTAAGATTTTACTAACTGAATTAACAGCAAACAATATGTCATACCAAATATTCATAGCTATTAAGAATTCAAAATTTTCAATCTCATAAGTTGCTAAGCTATTAGCTTCACTTTTTATCTTTGGATCTTCACTTTTTAAATAGGGTTAGGTTTATGCTTAAGTAACTAAGTTACATATATTATATATATGGGTGGGTGGGCCTTATCCAACTTGGGGCCCAAGGCAAAGGCCTTAGTTGACTTATGCTAGGGCCGGCCCTGTGTGACCGTTGTCCAACGCATGGACCGGATGGTAATGCATATCCAACACGAGGATTAAATAGCAATGCATGTCCAACACGAGGACTAAGTGGGAAGGGTTTCCAACACGAGGACTAAAAGGTAATGCTTGTCCAACACGAGGACTGAGAAATGGTGAAAATATCGCTGAGATACATAGTGAAATCTACCTATATCAATTCACAATCAAATCAGTGTGTATATCCACATTTAGTACCCTCAGGTCATCTATCATGCATGGATACATAATAAAACTAAAAACCAGAGTCAGATGATCCAGGCAAAATCTCAAATATGAGAAAAATACACAGAACAGGAAAATTGCAACAGACAGTGCGTCGGTCGACCGACTCGGTCGACCGTACACTGATACGAGCCTGGCGGTCGACCCGGGTGGCGGTCGACCGCAGACAAATCTGGCCCCTACAGCGGACTCAGCGGTCGACCGCACCGCCGGTGACCGCCAAGCGGACAGAAACCCAATCTGGGTTTTCTGTCAGCTGTTAAACCTGTAAACACAAAAATTTATTTGATATTAAAATACTAATGTTTCTAATAATCATATAACCATATACGAAGAAAACATTGGTGAACTTTATTACCCAAAACATTGGTGGACTTTTTATAAACTGAAACACAAGATTTTCGCATCATATGCTATAAAGAACATATTTTTATACTCACATATACGTTTTAGGCTCAACAAATCCCATTAAAACTGATTAGAAAACTTTTAAGAACATGGGAGAGGACTGGGCGAGATGTTACTCGCCTGAGGGGGTATTGTAGAACTCCTGAACACGCGTGAGCATGCTCCTCCTTCGATAGAATCGCTCCAAATCCCGCTGAAACCCTTCGAGACTCCTCAAAAATCGCCAAGAATGGATCTAAGGTTTGGGAGAGAAGAGGGGGGCTGCTAGGGTTTGTAAAACAGAAGAAAAGAGGTGATTTTCGTGATATAACATGTATATATATAGCAGCAAACCCGAAACCCGAAACCCGAAACCCGAAACTGGAAATTCAGTCTGACTAGGAACATTCTCTTCGATATTTTGACTATAACTTTCTCATACGACCTCGGAATAAGGTGATCTAAGATTTGTTGGAAAGCTCTTGAAGAGACCTACAACTTTGGTATTATACACTTTTCCAGATTCTTAATGAATCAGTGTGAAAAATATAGAAACTCTCAACTGGTCAAAATTCCCAGATTCTCACTCTTGGTCTTTGTGCATGATTTGTGTATTTGTACTCACATATATACATATATACGTTGAATTGATCTCAAATCAATTCTTTGTGCATGATTTGTGTATTTGTACTCACATATATACATATATACGTTGAATTGATCTCAAATCAATTCCTAGCATACTCAAACATCATAATATATTATTTATAAATGTATAACATATTTATTATTATTTATTATAAGGTATTCAAATTTTCGGGGTTTTACATAACTTTCCTCATGTTAGTTCTAACCCGTCTCATGTTAGCTCTAGCTCGTCCCATGTTAGTTCTAGCTAGTTGGGCAAGTTAGAACTAACAATATTCGAAGCGATATAACGAGAGATAGAAAATGAGCCCAAGTGAAAGGAAGATACCGTGTGATAGACAATATAAAGGGCTACACACCGGCGAAGACGGTGGTGAAAACGGAGACCGGATGTGGCTGGAAAACGCGCGCGAAGTCGGCACAGCGCTACAGTTTTGTGCCGACTTCGCACGCACTTTCCGATCACCTCCAATCTCCGTTTCCGC